GTGTGTGTGGGGGGGGGGGGGGATACAGAGTCCTTTTCCCACCCCATCTGCCCAGTTGTGGGTCCTTAATGGTCTTTTGGGGTGGGGGCGACATGGCTGAGGTCTCAACCTGGAGGGCGAGTGAATGCTTATTTTGTGTATGGCTTGAGCCGCCCCTGTGGGATTTGGAATGCTCTTTGATTGTAGGTGAACTATACATCCCAGTAACTACAACTCGCATATGCCAAGGTCTATTTCCCCCCAAGAGCGCCTCCAGAGCGCCCCTGGGCAACATGAACTCTACCACAAAGGCTTACTTTGCGTATGGCTTGAGCCGCCCCTGCGGAGGGCCAAGGTTTGCCCATGCCTGCCTGGGAGGGTCCTGCTTGGCCTCGTCCTGCCCGGCCTGAGCCTGGCCTGTGGGGCAAAGGCTGCCCAATCGATCCTTGTTCCGCTTTTCTGCCTTCCAGGAAACGTTGGCATCAAAAGAGAACAAGCCCAGAACGTTCCCTGTCCAAACTCCCCCCCCCCCACCCTCCCTTCAATCAGTGGCTGATGGATGGCCTGGCTTCCCTCTCTTTGGCCACCTGAGGCCCGGTGTCCGGCCGGCCATCCATCCATCCATCCATCCACGGCAGCTGCGCCCGGAGGCGGATGGATGTCTCTGCGTCCCTGAACGGATTTCAGGGCCACGTCTTGACAGAAAGGGAGAGCGATGGGGTCTTTCCGGGGCCGGAACATGCGTTCCCGCAGCAATGTTCTCTTCTCTGCCGGGAAGTTCATGGCGAGGGTCAGGGTCCCCGGCGCTCCCGGCAAGGTCCCTGGGCCTCTGCCTTGGCAATCAAAACATCATCATAGTCATACTGATGATGATGATCATGGTCAAAGCAATAATAATAATAATAAACATTGGAAAAACACCACAAACACACATATTAAAACATATTTCATAGAAGTAGTAATGGTAGTGATGGTGATAATAATAGTGATAATAACAAGGATGATAGTGACGATAACAATTGTGATAATAAATAATGATGATTATGATGATCAAAGCAATAATAATAATAATAATAATAATAATAATAATAATAAAAAAAACATTGGAAAAACACCACAAACTCACACATTAAAACGTATTTCATAATGGTAGTGATGGTGATAATAATAATAATAATAATAGTGATAATAAGGATGATAGTGACAATAATAATTGTGATAATAAATAATGATGATGATGATCAAAGCAATAATAATAATAATATATTAAAACGTATTTCGTAGAAGTAGTAATAATACGATAATGGTAGTGATGGTGATAATAATAATAGTGATAATAACAAGGATGATAGTGACGATAGTAATTGTGATAATAAATGATGATGATGATCAAAGCAATAATAATAATCATAAACATTGGAAAAACACCACAAACTCATATATTAAAACATATTTCGAAGTAGTAGTAATAATACGATAATGGTAGCGATGGTGATAATAATAGTGATAACAAGGATGATAGTGACGATAATAATTGTCATAATAATAATGATGATAGTGATAATCATAATGATTATTTATGTAAGCTGCTCCGAGTCCCCTTTGGGGAGATGGTGGTGGGGTATAAATAAAGTTTATTATTATTGTTATTATTATTATTATTATTATTATTATTATTATTATTATTATTATTAGACCCACGGCAGCTTACAGTGTGTAAACGCACAATCCAAACGTCAAAATAGTGATACAATGGTGAAAGCATAAAGTCAATAAAAACAATTACTGCCTCCCCCGAATAATGACAATGATTGTGATGACGATAGTGATGATGGTGATGATAATAATAATAGTGATAATAACAAGGATGATAGTGACAATAACAATTGTGATAATAAATAATGATGATAGTGATAATAATGGTGATCATCATAATGATTATTTATGTAAGCTGCTCCGAGTCCCCTTTAGGGAGATGGTGGCGGGGTATAAATAAAGTATATTATTATTATTATTATTATTATTATTATTATTATTATTGGACCCAAGGCGGCGTACAACGTGTAGACGCACAATCCAAATGTTAAAATAGTGATACAGTGGTGAAAGCATATAGTCAATAAAATCAATTACTGCCTCCCACAAATAATGATAATGATTGCGATAACAATAATGATAGTGATGATGATAATAGTGATAATGATAGTGTTGTTGTTGTTGATGATGATCTATATAAATAAAAATGTCATGTTTGTTTGTGGGATTAACAGAACTCAAAAACCACTGGACAAATTGACACGAAATTTGGACACAAAACACCTAACAGTCCAATTTATGTCCTCCACTCAAAAAGATTGATTTTGTCATTTGGGAGTTGTAGTTGCTGGGATTTATAGTTCACCTACAATCAAAGAGCATTCTGATCCCCACCAACGATGGAATTGAACCCAACTTGGCACACAGGGCTCCCTTGACCAAGAGAAAATACTGGTAGGGTTTGGTTGGCAGTGTCCTTTGGTTTTGGAGTTGTAGTTCACCTACATCCAGAGAGCACTGTGGACTCAAACAATGATGGATCTGGACCAAACTCTACACAAATACTCAATGTGCCCAAATGTGAACACTGGTGGAGTTTGGGGAAAATAGAATCTTGACATTTGGGAGTTGTAGTTGCTGGGATTTGTAGTTCACCTACAATCACAGAGCATTCTGAACCCCACCAACGTTAGAATTGGGGCAAACCTCCCACACAAAACCCCCATGTGGGCCACAGCGACACGTGGCAGGGGACGGCTAGTAATAATAATGATGATAAGGGACCAGCCCTTGCTTGCTGGGGGGCTTCAGAGTGTCCTTGCAGCCTCGGCTGGGCCGACTTGTGGCCACTGGGCTTGCCTTCTGGAACTTGGCCAAAGCAGCTTCCCTCTGGCCATTTGGCCAATGGGCTTCTTTCTCCCTGCCCCCTATTGTCCCCTCATGAGGAAGGAAGGCGCTCTGTGGGGAGGTGGGCTGGAGAGCCCGTGCAGAGTGGGATTGGACTGGGCGGCCCACCAGGTCTCTTCCAACTCTAGGATTCTGTGACAGGGAAACAGGCGTCCCTTTGGCCCAGTTGGCCAGCGGATGGACACTGAGGCTTGGCTCCAGACCTGGCCCTTAACATGACCAACTGACCGACTGACCACAGGCCTCCTGCCCTGCCTCTCTGTCCATTCCCAGATGGGGATGCCTTGTCCTCCTTTGAGAGAGATGGGGGGGGGCCTCCTTGCATGCATCACAACCCCCCCCCCCATCCCTCCCCAGTCTCTGGCTGTGCTCGGTCCCAACTGTTAATGGTTAATGTGGCCATAAACCCGCAGGGGTTTGTTTGCAATCTCTGGGAAAATGAGCTATCAGTTGGGCCATCAGCTGCCCAGAACAGCCTGTACCCAGGGGAGGGGGGGGGAGGGAGGGAGGGGGAAGGAGGGAGGGGACGGGCGGGGAAAAGGACGAGGGAGGGCCCGCTTCCTTATTATAGTCTTGTCCTTATTGTTATGTTGCATTGATCCCCTGCTTTGCGATGCAGCTTTTCTCTCTTCCCAACCTTGATTCAACGGTGGCTCTGTGGGGATGGGTCTCGCCCTCCAAAGTGGGCAAGGGTCTCCAGGTTGAGACCTCACCCCAAAAGACCACCAAGGCCATCAAGGACCCACAACTGGGCAGATGGGGTGGGAGAAGAACCCTGTAACACCCCCCCCCACACACACACACACACAAACACAGGGGCGGCTCAACCCATACGCAAAGTAAGCACTCGCGGTATACTTGATGTTGCCCAGGGGCGCTCTTGAGGCACTCTTGGGGGAAAATGGCAAGGGTCTCCAGGTTTAGACCTCAGCCAGGTCGGCCCCACCCCAAAAGACCACCAAGGACCCACAAGTGGGCAGATAGGGTGGGAGAAGGACCCTGTAACCCCCCCCCCCCCCACACACACACACACAGGGACGGCTCAATCCATACACAAAGTAAGCATTTGCTCACCCTCCAAGGTGGGCAAGGGTCTCCAGGTTGAGACCTCAGCCAGGTCGCCCCCACCCCAAAAGACCACCAAGGTCATCAAGGACCCCCAACTGGGCAGATGGGGTGGGAGAAGGACCCTGTAACACCCCCCCCCCACACACACACACAAACACAGGGGCGGTTCAACCCATACGCAAAGTAAGCATTCGCAGTATACTTGATTTTGCCCAGGGGCGCTCTTGGGGCGCTCTTGGGGGAAAATAGACCTTGACATATGCGAGTTGTAGTTACTGGGATGTATAGTTCACCTACAATCAAAGAGCATTCTGAACTCCACCAATGATGGAATTGAACCAAATATGGCACACAGAACTCCCACGACGAACAGAAAATATATATCAGTGATTGGTTGGGGGAGGGGGGCGCCAAAATACTGTTTGCTTACCGTTGAGAATTACCTAGGGCCATCGCCTCTGCACACACACACACAAACAAACAAACACACTTGATTCCACTGGAACATTAGGAAGGACTTCCTGAAGCTCACACCTGGGCAGGTCGGCAGAGGCTGTTTGAGGAGCCGCCCTTCCTGCCAGATAAGCCCGTGCTTGGCTTCCCTTTAGCACAGTGGTTCTTAACCTATGGGCCGTGGACCACCTGTGGGGTCTCGCGAGGACCAAAATCTGATCCACGAGCCTCCTTCCTCTATATTTGTTTTATTCCTGTTTCTTTTTCCCCGCCTGCCACTCCTTTCCTGTTGCTGACCATGGCATGTGTTCTGTATCAGAAACTAGAGCTGATGTAGTCTATCCAATGCAATGGTCTGAATCAGCACCCCAAATAACCCAACCGTGTCTAAAGTTGACCAAAAACTTTTGGTACTAATGTTGGGGAGTGGTCTCTGGTCAAAAAAAGCCTGGGGACCATTGCTGTAGCCCGAATGGTATAGATGTAAAGGCGAAGGGGTGCAGGTGGGCAAGGGTCTCAACTCCCCCCCCCCCCGGTTTGTGCCCCCCTCTCTCCAGGCTGCGACTCCGGCTTCGGCAAGGCGGCCGCCCGGCACTTGGATGCGCTGGGCCTGCGTGTCTTTGCCACGGTGCTGGACCTGGAGAGCCCGGGTGCCGAGGAGCTGCGCCGCTCCTGCTCCCCACGACTGACCCTCCTGCAGATGGACCTCACCCGCCAGGACGACATCCAGCGGGCAGTGGGCTTCGTCCGGGCACAGACAGCCGGCACCGGTGGGCCTCGAGCGGGATTGGGATCATTAGTATTAAGCAGAGGCTGAACGGCGTCTGTTGGGGGTGCTTCGATTGTGCTTTTCCTGCATGGCAGAATAAAGGGAGCTGGGCTGATTGATTCTATTATCATTACTATTGAGCAGAGGCTGGGTGGCCCTCTGCCAAGGTCGCTTTGATTGTGCTTTTCCTGCATGGCAGAATACAGCGGGTGGGTCTGCGGTTTCTGCTATTATTATTATTATTATTATTATTATTATTATTATTGACACAAAAACACAGTATGTCACAGCAAACGAGATACATATGCTGGATTTCGTATCACAAAATCACAAGTCGAACACTTCCCAAGTGTCTAGGACTATGTGATATTATTATTATTATTATTCTGACACAAAAACACTATGTCACAGCAAACGAGATACATATGCTGGATTTCGAATCGCAAAATCACAAGTCGAACACTTCCCAAGTGTCTAGGACTGTGTGATGATATTACTACTACTACTACTACTACTACTACAAAGGCTGGATGGCCTTCTGTCAGGGTTGCTTTGACTGTGTTTTTCCTGCATGGCAGAATAAGCGGGTGGGTCTGGGGTTTCTGTTGTTGTTGTTATTATTATTATTCAGACACAAAAACACAGTTTGTCACAGCAAACGAGATATATATGTTGGATTTCATATCACAAAATCACAAGTCGAACACTTCCCAAGTGTCTAGGACCAGGGGTCCTCAAACTACGGCCCGCGGGCAGGATACTGCCCTCCAAGGTCATTTACCCGGCCCTCGCTCAGGGTCAGCCTAAGTCTGAAATGACACAACAACAACAATCCTCTCTCATCAGCCAAAAATAGGCCCACACTTCCCACTGAAATACTAATAAGCTTATATTTGTTAAAATTGATCTTCATTTTAATTATTGTATTGTTTTTAAGTGTTATTTGCACTCCAAATAAGATATGTGCAGTGTGCATAGGAATTCATTCATGTTTTTTTTCAAATTATAATCCGGCCCTCCAACAGTTTGAGGGATTGTGACCTGGCCCTCTGTTTATAAAGAGTGAAATACTCAAGGCACAATTGCAAACTGTGCCAACAAAGAGAAAAAATAGGACAAGTGCAAAGAAGCCAGAATGGATGTCCAAAGATCTTCTAACTGTGCTAAAACACAAAAGAGACATGCACAAGAAGTGGAAAAAGGGAGAAATCACCAAAGAAGAATTCAAACAAATAGCCAGGACCTGTAGGGAAAAGGTCAGCAAGACTAAAGCACAAAACGAGCTCAGGCTTGGCAGGGACATTAAAAACAATAAAAAGGGATTCTTTTCTTATGTCAGTAGAAAAAGGAAAAACAAGGAGGCGATAGGGCCTCTTTGAGGAGAAGATGGGGCAATGCTGACAGGGGGTAGGGAAAAGGCCCTCTGTGAGAGCCGTTCAGCAGTGGAACTCTCTGCCCTGGAGTGTGGTGGAGGCTCCTTTGGAAGCTTTTAAACAGAGGCTGGATGGCCATCTGTCAGGGCTGATTTGAATGCAATATCCCTGCTTCTTGGCAGAATGGGGTTGGACTGGATGGCCCATGAGGTCTCTTCCAACTCTTTGATTCTATGAGGACTCCTGGTCTAGGACTGTGTTATGATATTATTACTACTACTACTACTACTACTACTATCACTACTACAAAGGCTGGATGGCCACATGTCGGGGGTGCTTTGACTGTGCTTTGTCCTGCACGGCAGGAGGGTGTCCCTTGCTGCCCCCAAGTGACCCCTCTTCCCCCCCCCCGGCAGGGCTGTGGGGCCTGGTCAACAACGCCGGCTTCAATGACACCATTGCGGACGCAGAGCTGACCCCGTTAGAGCAATTCCGCTACTGCATGGAGGTCAACTTCTTTGGCACCCTGGCCTTGACCAAGGGACTCCTGCCGCTGCTGCGCGCCTCGCGGGGGAGGATCGTCACCGTCAGCAGCCCAGCAGGTACCAAGCGGGGGGGATCGGGGGTGGGTGGGTTGGGGGGTTCCTGTCCCCCAAAGAGGACCCCACTCTTGCACGGCAGCACGTCCTGCGTCAGGAATGGTCCAGGGTCCAGGCAGCCTCCCTTTCATCTCCTCTCCTCTTCTCCTCCTTGCAGGGAGCATGCCCTACCCGTGCCTGGGCAGCTATGGGGCCTCCAAGGCGGCCCTCAGCCTCCTCATGGACACTTTCCGCTGCGAACTGGCCCCCTGGGGGGTCCGCGTCAGCCTCATCTTCCCTGGATACTTCAAGACAGGTAAGCCGAGGCCAGACAGACCACCTGTGCCTGTGCTCTTCAGGGACGCAGCGGAGCATCCCTCCTTTCAGTGGACCCTGTGAGGGTCATGGGGCCATTGGAGGTCAACACACACAGAGGCAGGAGATGGGGAGGGTCTCTGAGTTTGGGGTGGGGTGGGACATCCATGGCTGCAATCCCTCCCCCTCCCCTGCCCTTTGGCCCCCTGCCACTCAAGGCAACACACCGCCATCTGAATGCGTAAGGGGGCCGATGGTGATGAGTACCAACTACTTTGCTTTAAAGGATCCCTTGCAGCCCCCCCCCCCCATTCCTCCCCTCCCCACCTTGACTCCTGAGCCAGAAGTGGAGCAGAGGAAGTCTGGTGGACGCTCCTTCTTTGCAGGCTTCGAAACAGAGCTGGCCACCTGTTGAGGGTGCTTTGATTGTGCTCTTCCTGCACAAAGGCAGAAGGGGGTGGGTGGGCTGGGTGGCCACTGGGGTCCCTTTCTTCCACGAACCCAATAGTGCCTGAGTCTGGGTGGCCATCTGTCAGGAGGGCTTGGATAGTGCTTTTGCTTTATGGCAGAAGTCTTACAATTCTAGGGCCGTCATGGGCCCACTTTGGCCCTCCATCCAGGAGTTTTGACTCCCAACTTCCACAATTCCTAAGAGCTTGATAGAAATTCAGGCATGGGCCAACTTTGGCCCTCCCTCCAGGTGTTTAGCCTGTTAGGAATTGTGGGAGTCCAAAGCGCCTGGACGGAAGGCCGAAGTGGGCCTGTAACGGTTCTAGGTAGGGGGCTGCATCCCACTGGGGGCAAGGCTGACCCGCTCTCATCCTCGTCCTTCTTCTCCAGGCAGCTCCTGCAGCCCCGAGTACTGGACCAAGCGGAAGCAGGAGCTGCTGTCCAGCCTGGGTCCGGAGCTGCTGGAGGCCTACGGGGCGGAGTACCTGGAGGAGATCAACCGCCAGTTCCTGGCCTTCATGCGGGTGGCCGTGGAGGACCTGAGCGCCGTGGTGGACAGCATCGCGGACGGGCTGCTCTCGGCGCGGCCTCTGGGCAAGTACTACCCCGGGCGGGGCCTGGGCCTCATGTACTTCATCCACCACTACCTGCCGCCCGCCGCCCGCGACCTCTTCCTCAAGACCTTCTTCATCAACCCCGCCCTGCCCCGGGGGCTGCGGGCCACGGACCCCCCTAAGCCGTGACCCCTCCGTGCACGTGACATACCTCTCTCGTTGCTATCGCTGCTGCCTGCCCGCTGGCCAGAGACTGACCTCTTCGAAGGCCGATCCAGGGAAGCGTCTCTGCCACTTCTGCTCTTCTACCCCTCACGCAAGCACACGCAAGGCCCCCGCACACGCACACGCCTCGCCGGAGCCGAGCCAAGGCAGCCGGGCTGCTGCTGCTGCTGCTACTATGTCCTGAGGGACCGAGAAAGGCCTGCGGACCCAGAGCCTGCCAACCTCTCCCCAAAGAGCTGGAAATAAATTTTGTACGAAACGAACGGTTGCCGGCTGTTGGGGAGACACGCTCCGGCGGTGCCGTCCCCGTCTGGGTCTCTTCCAAATCTTGAACGCAGGTATGGGCCCTCCAGGTGTTTTGGACTCCAAACAACTCCGAATCAAATTCCGAATCGCCGAATCGATTTCCGAATCACCGAACCAAATTCTGAATCACTGAACCAAATTCCGAACCGCCGGTCAGCCTCAGGCCCTTTCCTTTTCCCCCTCAGCCGCTTAAGCGGCTGAGGGGGAAAAGGAAGGGGCCTGAGGCTGTTAGGCGGCTTGGAATTCTGGGAGTTGGAGTCCAAAACACCCAGAGGGCCGTGCTTCTTGCAATGCACCCTCTTGGTGAGGACAGCTATGTAGGGCTCAGCTGCCCCATGGGTATGAATGGGAGGAGGGGTCTTCTGCAAGGCATACCCTCCACCACAACACTCCCGGGCAAGGGGTCCCTGCATTTTTTCAAGGGGGGGGGGGTCCTCTCACAGAGACGAGACAGGCCGGACTTTCGGTCGATGGTTTATTATCACGGCTCAAAAGGAAGATGAACAGCAAAGGAAACACTTGGGGGGGGGGTCTCCTCAGGACCGGAAGTGCCCCCCACTCCCATTGGAGGAGGAGAAAGGGGCAGGTGGGGATGTTGTGGGGCTTGAGAGCCACGGAAGGAAGGCCTCTCCTCTGCACAAGAAGTAAGAAGGGACAATATTGGGGGTGGGGGGTTCGACCCAGCTCTGCAGCACAGAAGGACCCCCCCAATGCACCCCCTCCCCTTATTCCAGATGCAGAAGAAGCAAACCAAGGAGGGAGGCCATAAGAAGCAAGTAGGGACAATATTGGGGGTGGGGGGGGGGGGTTCAACCCAGCTCTGCAGCACAGAAGGACCCCCCCAATGCACCCCCTCCCCTTATTCCAGATGCAGAAGAAGCAAACCAAGGAGGGAGGCCATAAGAAGCAAGTAGGGACAATATTGGGGGTGGGGGGGGGGGGTTCAACCCAGCTCTGCAGCACAGAAGGACCCCCCCAATGCACCCCCTCCCCTTATTCCAGATGCAGAAGAGGCAAACCAGTGTCAAACCAGTTTAAGTTTGGTCCTCCCTCACGCAATCCTCTGCATGCCACAAGACGAATCCCCCCCCCAAGTCCTCAGGCAGCATTATTTCAAGGGTGGTGCCTGGGCTGCATGGGGACCCTTGCCATCAACCCCCCCCCCCCCCGGCGGGGCCTCCTTCGTCCATCGCCCCGACTCTGAGGAATACTGAACAACTGAGTCCGACCTACACGGAGCACACGCACAGTGAACACGTTACGAGTCTGAAGGGAGAGCAATAAAGGGGTTCGGGGTCGGGGGGGGGGGGGGAAGAGTGCAGGCAAGGAGATCCGGGGCTCAGAAGATGGGGATGTAGTTGTCGATCTTGGCCCGGTGGCGCTGGGCGATGCACTCGGCGATCCAGACGATGTTGCGGCACTCCTGCTCCTTCAGCTTCACGAAGGCGTAGAAGACGCCAAAGTGGAACTGGTTCAGGAAGGCCAGCTTGTTTAGCTTCACCTGCAGTGAGAGAGAGGGAGGGAGGGAGGGAGAGGCCCTTTTCCTATTAAATCATCATCATAATAATATATTTATTTATTTATCGTGTCAGGAGCAAGCCAAACAGTTGTATTGCATTTTTTAACAAACAAACAAACAAAACACAAAGTTTGCAAGTTTGGTAGTTGATTATATATAATGATAAAGGAAGCCCAGCTTGATTAGCTTCACCTGAAGTGAGAGAGAGAGAGAGAGAGAGAGAGAGAGAGGGAGAAGCTCTTTCCCTATTTAATAATAATGATGATAATAATAATAATATAATAAAGGAAGGCCAGCTTGTTTAGCTTCACCTGAAGTGAGCGAGAGAGAGAGAGAGAGAAGCCCTTTCCCCATTAAATAATAATAATAATAATAATAATAATAATAATAATAATAATAATAATATATTTATTTATTTATCGTGTCAGGAGCAAGCCAAACCGTTGTATTGCATTTTTAAACAAACAAACAAAACACAAAGTTTGCAAGCTTGGTAGTTGATTATATAATAATAATAAAGGAAGCCCAACTTGTTTAGCTTCAACTGAAGTGAGAGAGAGAGAGAGAAGCCCTTTCCCTATATAACAACAACAACAACAACATATTTATTTATTTATCGTGTCAGGAGCAAGCCAAACAGCTGTATTGCATTTTTTAGCAAACAAACAAAACACAAAAGTTTGCAAGCTTGGTAGTTGATTATATATAATAATAAAGGAAGGCCAGCTTGTTTAGCTTCACCTGAAGTGAGAGAGAGAGGGAGAGAGAGGGAGAGAGAGGGAGAAGCCCTTTCCCTATATAATAATAATAATAATAATAATAATAATAATAATAATAACAACAACAATAACAATATATTTATTTATTTATTTATTGTGTCAGGAGCAAGCCAAAAAGTTGTACTGAATTTTTTAACAAACAAACAAAACACAAAATAAATAAACAGAGTAACAATATAAAATCAGAACACAAAAACACAGAGACTTGATCCCAGTGTGCAGGGCCAATTGCCAAGGTTAAAATATAAAAACACTGGGTGAGGGCAATGCAAGGTCTCCGGAGAGGGGATCCGGGGGGGGGGGGGGCAAGGAGGGGTTAGTTGCACCAAGAGGGAAAGTCAAGTGCTTCTGAGGGCATTTCATACAGAGTTGGGTCAGGGATTATTGCACATTCTTGGTCCTTATGGCCTCCCTGGTCGGGCAGAGGAGAGGCCTTCCTTCCGTGGCCCTCAAGCCAGGCAGAGAGACCCCCCCTCTGCAAAAAAGCCCCTCCTCTGCAGCGGGAGGGCCACTTTAAAGTGCTGCTCGCTCACCTCGTGCTCAAAGAAGCGGTCCTCCAGGGTCTTGTCTCCAGGGTTGCTCCCGGCCCCCTCAAAGAGCAGCTTGTATTCCTGTTGGAGAAGGAGGAGGGGGAGGTCAGGGGGAGGAGAGGGAGGGGGGTCACGCCAAGGGCCCTTCTGCCCCCCCCTCAAACCCAAGAGGAAGGAGGAGGGGGGAGGAGGGGGGGAGCGTCCTCACTCACCGGGTAATAGTCGGCCACGGCCTTGACCTGCTCGTAGTCGTCTGCCCGGGCCAGCTGGGCCAGTCCCTCCGGGTAGAGCTTCCCGCAGTGCGGAAAGAGCTTGGCCCGGTCCTCCTTGGACAGCTCCGTCCCAAAGGAGTTGATGGTGATGATGAAGGCCCTCCGGTCCGCCTCAAACTGGGCACAAACGGGGGGGGGGGGGGGGGGGGGGTCAGCCTCAGGGGGGGGGGGGGAGGGCCAAAGAGAAGAGAAGGGTAGGGGTCTCCCTCCATCCCCCCTCCCCCCCTCGCAGCCCCGCCCCTACCTCCAGGATGGGGCACATGGCGTCCGCCGTGGTGCCCCCCAGGGCCTTGCAGAACTTGTAGAAGGACTCCAGGTAGGCCTAAGAGGGGGAGAGGCAGGGTCATCGGGGCGATCCCGGCTTTGGCCTCCAGGTACCATCTCTAATCATGGCTGATGACCTATTGACCTTAAATGGTTGGCTCAATTTGACACCCCCCCCCCATCCAACCCCCCAGGCACTAATGGGTCTCAGAGCAGAGTTGGGTCCTCCCTCATTCTGCCTCCGCAAAGCAGAACTGAGCAGGACCCGGACTGATGGGCAGAAGCAACAGGCCGTGAATTTGACTCCAGGGTCCCTCCGCCCTCCCATCGCAAGACCCTCCCTCCTCTTTGGGTGCCCACCTTGTACAGCGTGTTCCGGATGATCTCAATGTTCATCTCGTCCAGGTCTTGCTCAGAGATGCAGTCTTGGAAGAAGGCGGCTGGAAGAAGGGAGGGAGGGAGGGAGGGGAGGGGTCAAGGGGTGGGGTGGCCCTGCGGAAGGGGGTTCTTCCCACTCTGTGGTCTATGCTCCTGGGAAGACCCTCCCTCTCCCCCTCCTCCTACCCTGTCCCAAAGGAGTTGATGGTGATGATGAAGGCCCTCCAGTCCGCCTCAAACTGGGCACAAAGGGGGGGAGGGGGGTCAGCCTCACTGGGGGTGGGGGAGAGCGTAGACACCCCTCGTTCGCTCACCGAGAGGGGTGTCCACCAGGATGGCGTTGTAGAGCTCGGCCGGCGTCTGGGCGATGTTGACGGCCTCCATCTGCTCAAAGCTGCCCAGCGGGTGGCACTTGGGCACCAGCTCCGCGATGGAGCGCTGGTGGAGGGTCCCCGTGATCAGGAGGATGACGTTGTCAATCATGTAGCTGTACCTGCAAGACCCAGGAGCCATTCCAGGACAGGCGTGGCGCACGCCCGGGACCTCCCCCCACACTCCCCCCACGAATAATGGCAGGAGCCCACCCAATGGGCCAGGGTGCCCGGGGACTCTGGCTGAGCCCCTCCCTCGGGGTCAAGCCAGGTAAGAGGCAAATAACACAAAAGGGCGGAGGAGGTGGACAGCCCTCACTCGCTCTCTCGCTTCTTCTTCGTGGAAGAGGAAGTTGTAAACAGCGCCAGCCAGCCAGCCAGCTGGGGTGACATTTGTTTGACTGCTCTTCCTCCCGGGCATAAACGCCGCCATAAAAAGGGATTCCAAACACTCTGGAGGCGGAGGCAGCCCCCGTGGGGCACCCATAGCCAGGTGGATCAGGTCTGAACCAGGCAGCGGTGCCTCAGAGCCAGCCAGCCAGCCAGCGAGGGAGGGAGGGGGGACCGGCTGGAGGCCCAGGAGCCTCCGCGGCAGGAGCAGCAGAAAGCTCCTCTGAGTCTCCTTGGGCAGAGAAAAAGCCGGATATGCATAAACATAATAATAATAATAATAATGTCTGCTTGGCTTCAGGAAGGCCCCCTGCCAATCCCCTTTGGGGGAGGCCCTCCTTTCACCCCTACCAATCTCACAAGCTCATCTTGTGGGCACAAGGGAGAGAGCCTTCTCCTCTGTGGCTCCCCGACTCTGGGACTCACTACCTGGAGAGAACAGGAAAGCCCCTTCACTAGAGACATTAGAAAAGGACCTTAAAACCCGGCTCTTCCGCTGCGCCTTTGGCAAGTAGGGGCACAACATGACGCCGTTGCTCCCCTCAACTCTCTTGCCACTGGAGTACACACCCCTCCAAATGGGAAGTTTAGTTTCATAACTCTTGTGTGTTTTTATGAGCTCCCTGCAAATAATCTGCTCCTATTGTTATCTCGTTAGAGTCTTTTAATCGTTTTATCCTGCACATGTGGCCCGCCCTTTGTTATTGTAATTGTGTTTATTGGAATGTTATTTTGTTACTGTGTTTATACTTTTTTCCCTATAATTTTGATGATGTTGGTTGCTGTTTATGTTTTGGTTTCATTTTGCTGTAATATGTTGTCCGGGCTTGGCCCCATGCAGGGGCGGCTCAACCCGTTACGCAAAGTAAGCCTTTGCGTTAGAGTTGTTGCCCGGGGGGGGGGGGGGGGGCGCTCTTGGGGGAAAATAGACCTTGACATATGCGAGTTGTAGTTACTGGGATGTATAGTTCCCCTACAATCAAAGAGCATTCTGAACTCCACCAAGGATTGAATTGAACCAAATATGGCACACAGAACTCCCACCACGAACAGAAAATATATATGGGGGGGGGGGGCAAAATACTGTTTGCTTACTGTTGAAAATTACCTAGGGCCGCCTCTGGCCCCATGTAAGCCGCTCCGAGTCCCCACTGGGGAGATGGTGGCAGGATATAAATAAATATTATTATTATTATTATTATTATTATTCCTCTTGTATATCTCCTTCGCTCTCACTTGGACCCAGGGCTCCACGGAGGCCCACTCGCCTCAACGCAGGGCCCTCCAGACTCACTCCTGTACCAGAGTCACATGGGAGGCTCGTCTTTGGGGAAACGGCTGCTCTTCACACCCAAATTTCCCAGAATCTATGAAAGGCAAGCAGTGGAAGGGTGAGGGGCGCTTGCTTAGGAGAAGCGATGATGGGAGCCGCCTTGCAAAGAGTCCCCGGTGGCTGGTAAACCGTGGGATGGGCTTCCGTGCCTCTCCGTCCAAGGCCAAAGTAAGGGGCACCCTCTCGGGGTTTGGTGGATGGATAGAATCATAGACAGGCAGATGGAAGGAATCCTCGATTGCTGGAAGGGACCCCAAAGAGGGCCATCTAGTCCAACCCCCTTCTGCCAGGCAGGCAGGCAGGCAGGCACCATCCAATGCCTCCCAACAGATGGCCGTCCAGCCTCATCTTAAAACCCCCAAAGAAATAGACAGAATTATAGTGGGAATTGTGGAGGGCCTCTTGCGCTTCGGCAGCCGCCGGGGAAGCGTGCCACCCCCACAAACGCTCTATCCTGCAGTTCTGCCGGCTTGTTTTACCCCAAGATCTTGGAAAGCAAGGCCCAGGTCTATTCTGCTGGTCCCGCGGCATCTCCGGACAAAGGCTGGGGAAGGGTCTGCAAAAGGGCCAAGGGAGCCAAGGAGGCTTTGACCTGCAGCTCTCCCACTTGTATCTTATCCTGCAAGAGGTTGTTTCCACATGAAGGCTCTCTGGCGCCCTCTCCTGCTGAACGAGTGATGGTGGCATCGGCGGCTTGGACGGGGCCTGGCACCCCCCATCTCTGTTGTCTACACTGAGTACTAGCCCCTCCCCAAACTACAAGTGGAACCCTGACAGCTTTACCGATGTCTTGCACGGGTTTCCATCAAATGGCAGGGAAGGCACCTCGGGGTTCGAGATCGCACTTGGCTTCTTTTCCTTACACACCTGTCATAATGGCTAGGCTCAGTCCGGACCTATTTCCTCCTCTTTGGATCCACTCTGTCTGGTCACTGCAGGGAGCCCTCCCCTCCCTTGCCTCTGGACAGATGAGTCAGGAGAAGAGAAGAGATGGAGGGAAGACCCCCCCCCCTCTCCTCCTCTTCCTCCGCTGCTCATCACAGCCTCTTTTGCCTCCAGTTACACTATAAAAGGTAAAGGTTCCCTCAACATTAAGTCCAGTCGTGTCCGACTCTGGGGGTTGGTGCTCATCTCCATTTCTAGACTGAAGAGCCAGCGTTGTCTGTAGACACCTCCAAGGTCATGTGGCCAGCATGACTGCATGGAGCGCCATTACCTTCCCACTGGAGCAGTACCTATTGATCTACTCGCATTTGCATGCTTTCAAACTGCTAGGTTGGCAGAAGCTGGGGCTCACCCCACACCCCGGATTCAAACCACCAACTTTTTGGTCAGCAAGTTCAGCAGCTAAGCAGTTTAACTCACTGTGCCACTGAGGGTTACACTACGTAACATAATTTTTGTTCCTGGTTTATACATGTAATTACTTCCTAGTTGGCTCTATCATTAAAAACTTCGTTAAACTGCCAAAACTTTGCCTTTGCAGGAGGGACATCCTGCAGCACGTCTCGCAATATTATTATTATTATTATTATTATTATTATTATTAACACTACTAGCTGTACCCAGCCACACATTACTGTGGCCCTCAGAAAACAGGAATTCCAGTTGAAGCCATAGACAGAAGGGACAGATGGAAGGGACATTGATAGGTGTAGCGGAAGGTAGGTGGATAGAACACAGGTAGGAAAGTAGGTAGGTAGGTAGGTGGAGTGATGGATGGAAGGATGGATGGACAGACAGACAGACAGACAGACATCTTTACAGCCAAAGGGGGTTGGACAGGATGGCCTCTGGGACTCCCTTCCAACTGGTTGACCATCGGTCGGGAGGGCTTTGATGGTGACTTCCTTTACTGTAAATTGAGGTTGGACTAGATGGCCTTTGGGGTGCCCTCCAACTGGATGGCCATCTGTCAGGAGGGCTTTGATGGTGTCTTTACTTTAAAATGGGGTTGGACTGGATGGCCTTTGGGGTGCCCTCTCCAACTGGATGGACATCTGTCGGGAGGGCTTTGATGGTGTCTTTACTTTAAAATGGGGTTGGACTGGATGGCCTTTGGGGTGCCCCCTCCAACTGGATGGCCATCTGTCGGGAGGGCTTTGATGGTGTCTTCCTTTACTTCAGATGGATGGCCATCTGTCAGGAGGGCTTTGATGGTGTCTTTGTGAGTGAAGAAAATACATTGGTTTAGTTGGTGTCCAAATTTGGTGTCAATTCGTCCAGTGGTTTTTGAGTTCTGTTAATCCCACAAACGAACAGAACATTTTTATTTATATAGATTGTTACTATATTATTATTCCCACTATTACTACTACTACCATGACTATCATTACTATTACACTATGTAAGATGATTTCTGTCCCTGGGTCATGAATGTCATTATTTCCTAATTGGGTCTATCATTAAAAAAACACGGGGAAACTTCATTAAACTGCCCAAACGTGGCCCTTGTAGTTTTCCAGTGAAGATCTCATGGTGGAGTCCCAGCCCATCCCGTCCAGTTTGTGGCAGCCACAGAAATGAAGAAGTTTCTGGAGTGGAACCAGGACGACCAAAGGAAGGGCCCTTAAAGGGGAAGTAACACACTTTCCCAGGTGGGGCGGCGGCACTCACGTGATGAAGTCCAGGAAGCTGGCCAGGGGCTCGTAGGCGTGGTTCCTCATGTGGCGGAACTCCACCACCATCTTCTCCTTCAGCTTGTCGTCGATGACGGAGACGGTGAGCGGAGAGGCCTCGTTGGCCAGGAAGTTCCCATAGTCGGTGCTCTGGAGGTGCAGCTTCAGGTCTGGGGGGGCCACAAAGAGAGAGAGAAACATGGCTCAAGGCCTCTTTACCTGGAATCACAACATGCCCAATTCTGGGGAGCATTGACTCCAAGCTGGAAGAGGCGACTGAAAGGACCCAAGCCCTGCAGACCATGAATAACAATCCCTCTGAGGAGCATCTTAAGGACCTGGACCTGTTTAGCCCCAGAAGAGAAGGTGGAGAGGACATCCTTCCATATATTTATATCTATGTATCAATACATGAAAGGGTGTCCTAAGGCCTTGTCTTCCACTGCCCTGGAAACTAGGACTCAAGGGAGCCAAGGGTTCAAATGCCAAGGAAGGAGATCCACCTCAACACGAGGAAGAACTTCCTGACTGTAAGAAGAAGAGCTGCTCAGCCGTGGAATTCCTTCCTGCTTCCGAGTCTGGTGGAAGCGCCTTCCTTGGAGGTTTTTAAACAGAGGTCGGATGGCCATCTGTTGGGGGTGCTTTGATTGTGCTTTTCCTGCCTGGCCTCTACAGATGCCAGTAGCCACAGATGCAGGTGAAACGTTGGGAGAAAAGGCTGCTAGAACACGGCTATAAAAACTCACACAACACCCTATTATTATTATTATTATTATTATTACTGCTACTAGTAGTAGTAGTATTAAGCCAAGGCGGGATGGCCATCAGTTGGGGGTGCTTTGATTGTGCTTTTCCTGCATGGCAAAAGGAAGGGGGTTGGACTGGAGGACTCTTCTATTATTATTATTATTATTATTATTATTATTATTATTATTATTATTGTGGCACAAAAACATAGTATGACACAGCATGCGAAATATATATGCTGGATTTCGTACAATAATGATAATGAAAATTATTATTATTATTATATTGTCAGTTTTTTCAGATCCCCTGAAGATGCCCTTAGTCACAGATGCAGGTGAAATGTCAGGAGAAAAGGCTGCTAGAACACGGCCATAAAAACTCACACAACACCCTATTATTATTATTATTAGTAGTAGTAGTAGTAGTAGTAGTATTAAGCTAGGCGGGATGGCCATCAGTTGGGGGTGCTTTGATTGTGCTTTTCCAAAAGGAAGGGGGTTGGACTGGAGGAGTCTTTTATTATTATTATTATTATTATTATTATTATTATTATTATTATTATTATTGTGGCACAAAAACATAGTATGACATAGCATGCGAGATATATATGCTGGATTTCATATAATAATGATAATGACAATAATAATAATAATAATTTTTGTCGTGTCAGGAGCAACTTGAGAAACTGCAAGTCGCTTCTGGTGTGAGAGAATTGGCCATCTGCAAGGACGTTGCCCAGGGGACGCCTGGATGATTTGATGTTTTTATCATCCTTGTGGGAGGCTTCTCTCATGTCCCCGCATGAGGAGCTGGAGCTGATAGAGGGAGCTCATCCGCCTCTCCCCGGATTCGAACCTGCGACCTGTCGGTCTTCAGTCCTGCCGGCACAGGGGTTGAACCCACTGCACCACCGGGGGCTCCTAATAATAATAATAATAATAATAATAATAATAAGCTAATAATAATATTGTCAAAAGTTTTTCAGATCCCCTGAGGATGCCACAGATACAGGTGAAATGTCCTCATTTCCTAAGGCAGGCATCCTCAAACTGCGGCCCTCCAACTCCCAGAAGCCCTAACGAGCTTGTTCAATTGTCAGGAATTCTGGGAGTTGAAGTCCCAAATAGCTGGAGGGCCGTGGTTGGAGGATGCCTGCTCTAAGGGAGCCAAGGGAAGAAGGGCCCTGCTGCGGAGGGAGGGAGGGAGGGAGGGAGGGAGGGCCAGCGCTGGTCTGAGGGCGGCCTCTGGCGGCAAGAGGGAGGAATGCACGGCCAAGGCTGACCGTCAGAAGGGGGGAGGGGGGGGTCCTTCAGGACCAGGGCCAGAGTCTTTAGGAAAGGGGGGGTTTGGACTGAAGAGCGAGGGAAGGCAGCCGGATCACTTGGAAGCCAAGGATCCCTCTAAGGAGGAGAAGGAGCTTTATTATTATTACTAATTATTATTATTATTCAGTTCTTGTGGGTTTTTTTGGGCTATATGGCCATGTTCTAGAGGCATTCTCTCCTGACATTTCGCCTGCATCTATGGCAAGCATCCTCAGAGGTAGTGAGGTCTGTTGGAACTGGGGAAAAAGAGGTTTATATATCTGTGGAATAATGACCAGGGTGAGACAAAGGGCTTTTGTAAGTTGTAAGATGTTATCCCTTTCAGAAGTCTTCAGCTTCTCACAATGCTGTGGTTTTTGCAAAATTTCTAAGCACCCTGTCATGCATTGCACAAAGCTGCAATGACACTTTTAATTATGTCTGTTCCTCATAAGTTTCCCCCAATTTGCATTTCCCAGTTTCTTGCTTTACAGCCTTGGCGTCACTGGAGTGAATTTGTGTGCATAGTTCATTGTCTTGTTTACAAGACAAACCCAATCAGAAGGCTGTTATAAACCCAGTTCATTATTATTATTATTATTATTATTATTATTATTATTATTATTTATTTGTACCCCGCTAGCATCTCCCGAAGGACTCGATGCAGCTTACAAGGCCAAGGCCTCAACACAACAACAACAGGCAATAACAATACAATGCAAAGCAAATTAAATTACAAACATAAGCAATAACAAAACATTACACCATTACGCAATAAAACCAGGGCCGGGCCAATGATGGGTACAGGTTAAAAAGTGCTGGATGTGAGAGGTGATATGTTGGATTTCTGGGCAAGTGCAAAGTGCAGAGAGTCTTAAGCTCTAATAAAGTGTTTCTGGGACATGGTGCTGGGGGTTATCCTATCCTGGGAAGGCACATCGGAATAGCCAGGTCTTCAAGCTCTTCCTAAAGACTGCCAACGTGGGTGCTCGTCTAATGTCTTTGGGGAGGGTGTTCCAAAGTCGGGGGGCAACCACAGAGAAGGCCCTGTCCCTCGTCCCCACCAAACGCGCCTGCGACGCAGGTGGGATCGCGAGCAGGGCCTCTCCGGATAAATGGAGGGATTGTGTGGGTTCATATACAGAGATGTGGTCACGCAGGTAGGCGGGTCCCAAACTGTTTAGGGCTTTGTAGGTAAGCACCTGCACCTTGAATTGGGTCCGGAAAATGAACGGCAGCCAATGGAGCTCCCTGAACAGGAGGGTTGACCTCTCTCTGTAAGGGGCCCCAGTTAACATCCTGGCCGCTGCACGTTGGACCAGTTGAAATTTCCAAGCCGCTTTCAAGGGCAGCCCCACATAGAGCGCATTACAGTAGTCCAATCTGGAGGTGACCAGGCATGGACCACCCCGGCCAGATCCGCCTTCGCGAGGTACGGTCGCAGTTGGCGCACGAGTCTCAGTTGTGCGAAAGCCCTCCTGGACACCGCCGACGCCTGAGCCTCAAGTGGGAGCGATGAGTCCAGGAGGACTCCCAGACTGCGGACCTGTGGCTTCAGGGGGAGTGTAACCCCGTCCAGCACAGGTTGCCACCCTATACCCCGGTCAGGTTTGTGATCGACCAGGAGGACCTCTGTCTTGTCGGGATTGATCTTCAGCTTGTTCCTCCTCATCCAGATAGACACAGCGGCCAGGCACTCGTCCAGCACTTGAGAGGCCTCCTTGGAATTAGGTGGAAAAGAGTAGTAGAGTTGTGTGTCATCCGCGTAGAGGTGGCACCCAACTCCAAAACTCCAGATGACCTCTCCCAGCGGTTTCATGTAGATGTTAAAGAGCATGGGAGACAGAATAGAGCCTTGCGGGACCCCACAGGTCAAAGGCCAGGGGTCCGAGCAGGCGTCTCCCAGCTTCACCATCTGGGATCGACCCTCCAGGAAGGATCGGAGCCACGACAGAACCGTGCCCCCGAGACCCATCCCAGAGAGGCGACCCAGAAGGATACCATGATCGATGGTATCGAAAGCCACTGAGATGTCCAAGAGAACCAACAGAGTCACACTCCCCCTGTCCAGCTCTCTACGGAGGTCATCCACCAAGGCGACCACGGCTGTCTCGGTGCCGTGGCCAGGCCTGATACCAGACTGTGACTGATCTAGGTAGTCGATATCATCCAAAAAGCCCTGGAGCTGGGAGGCAACCACCCGCTCCAACACCTTACCCAAGAAAGGGAGGTTGGAGATCGGTCTGAAATTGTTCAGCACCGTGGAGTCAAGGGAAGCCTTTTTAAGGAGTGGACGAACCACAGCTTGTTTCTATATATGTATTATATAGAAATATATATAATAGTAATATATGAAGTATTGTTATATGTGTGTGTGTATCACCAACCAGTGCAACTGCACTGCATCCTGTCAGATCCCCAAAATCTGGAGGAAAGCAAGAGTCATCGCCACCTTGAAGCCAGGCAAAGACCGTAATGACCCAAAAAGCTACAGACCAATCTCCCTGTTATGCCATCTTTACAAAGTTCTGGAGAGACCTATTTTGCATAGAATTATGGAAAAAATAGACCCCTGTCTGATTCCACAACAAGCTGGCTTCAGGAAAGGCAAAAGCTGCACATCGCAAGTGCTGAACCTGACTCAGCACATAGAAGATGGCTTTGAAAAGCAGCAGATCACAGGAGCTGTCTTCACAGACCTGTCAGCAGCCTATGAGACTGTGAACCACGGCCTCCTCCTGAGAAAAATGTACAATATCACAAAGGACGACCACCTCACCCGCCTCATAGGAAACCTGCTACAAAACAGGAGCTTTTTTGTTGAGTTCCAGGGCCAGAGAAGCAGAAGAAGGGCCTGCCTCAGGGGAGCGTGCTTGCTCCATCCATGTTCAACATGTACACAAATGACCAGCCACTGCCAGAAGGGACAGAGAGATTCATCTATGCTAATGATCGTGCCATTGCCGCTCAAGCAGGGACCTTTGAGACGGTTGAACAGAAGCTCTCCGAAGCTCTAGGTGCTCTTACTGCCTATTACAGGGAAAATCAGCTGATCCCTAATCCATCTAAAACACAGACATGTGCCTTTCATCTCAAGAACAGACAAGCACCCCGAGCTCTGAGGATGATTACCTGGGAAGGAAGGAATCCCACGGGAGCATTGCAGCGCACCCAAATCCCTGGGAGGAGTCACTCTGGACCGTGCTCTGACCTACAAGAAGCACTGCCTGAACATCAAGCAAAAAGTGGGTGCTAGAAACAATATCATACGAAAGCTGACTGGCACAACCTGGGGATCACAACCAGATACAGTGAAGACATTTGCCCTTGCGCTGTGCTACTCTGCTGCTGAGTACTCATGCCCGGTGTGGAACACATCTCACCACGCTAAAACAGTGGATGTGGCTCTTAATGAGACATGCCGCATTATCACGGGGTGCCTGCGCCCCACACCACTGGAGAAATTACACTGTCTAGCCGGTATTGCACCACCTGACATCCGCCGGGAAATAGCAGCCAATAGTGAAAGGAACAAGGCAGAGACATCTCCAGCTCATCCCGTTTGGGTATCAGCCAGCACGTCAACAACTGAAATCCAGACATAGTTTTCTTGATCTACAGAGACACTCGCCGGAACACCTCAGCAAGCGAGAGTCCAAAAGTGGCAGGCTCAAACCCAGAACCTCAACCAATGGCTGATACCAGATGAGAGACTCCCCCCTGGGCACACAGAAAACTGGGTGACTTGGAAGGTGCTGAACAGACTGCGCTCTGGCACCACGAGATGCAGAGCCAACCTCAAGAAATGGGGCCACAAAGTGGAGTCCACGACATGCGAGTGCGGAGAAGAGCACACCACTGACCACCTGCTGCAATGCACCCTGAGCCCTGCCAGATGCACAAGGGAGGACCTTCTTGCGGCAACACCAGAAGCACTCCAAGGGGCCAGACACTGGTCAAAGGACATTTAATCCACTACCAAACTCACAAATTTTGTATTTTCTCTGTTTGTTTGCTTTGTTCTGTTACAAATGTAATATAATCGACTGGCTGCCTTGACACGAAATAAAAAAAAAACCAACCAGTGATCCAACATTCATCCATATATGTGTGTGTGTGCATGCGCATGCGCTTGGCTCTCAGTGCTGTAACGGCCGCTATTCCATTGTGTAGATTTTTGGGGTTACTGCTGTTTCTTTGGGGTTTTTTTTGAGTGGAGGACATAAATTGGACTGTTAGGTGCCTTGTGTCCAAATTTGGTATCAATTCCCCCAGTGGTTTTTGAGTTCTGATGGTATCACAAACAAACATTACATTTTTATTTATATAGATTGCTTCTATTGTTTTGTGGTTTATATTATATGTTAATGTTTTAATTATATTTTATGTTATTGGGGGCACTGAATTTTGCCGTTTGTGAACCGCCCTGAGTTGCCTCCGGGATGAGACAGGCGGTGTATAAATATGGTAAATAAATAAATAAATTTGGGGGAATGATCCAGTATGATGAGAGTTGCAGTTCATGTTGCATCCAGCAACCACTGTGATCCCCACCTATGATAGATCTGGACAAAATGTGGCACACACACACCCAACATGGCCAACTTTAAGTATTGGTGAGGTTTGAGGCAGTTAACCCGGCATAATGTAAATTGTAGTCCACCCACATCCTTCCTTATGCCTTTCCTGAATGGGGCCATTCATCTTGACTTTGTCTAAATATATAATCTTGCAGATTACCTAATATCTAACCCGGGCATCGCTGGGTGCTTAAGTGAGTGTTTCAATATTTGAATGGAAGCCACACTGAGGAGGAGGAGGAGAGCGGGGGCTTGATTGTGCATTTCCTGCATAATGTTGGAAGGAGGCTGGACTGGATCGCCTTTGGGGTCCCTTTTAACCCTTATGAGTCATACAATATAGTACTAATAATATAATATTAATTATAGATTATAGATTACATATAATATTACAGTATTGAGTCATAGTACAAGATAGTACTATATAATGTTAATATAGCGCTATGTTATGGTCCACGCTCTTGTTACATCCCGAATAGATTACTGCAACACACTCTATGTGAGTTGCCTTTGAAGACTGTTTGGAAACTCCAACTAGTCCTAACTAGTCGGGGGAGGCCCTACTTTCGCCCCTACCAATCTCACAGGTTTGTCTTGTGGGCACAAGGGAGAGGGCCTTCTCCTCTGTGGCCCCCCGACTTTGGAACTCTTTACCTGGAGAGATCAGGAAAGTCCCTTCACTAGAAACGTTCAAAAAGGACCTTAAAACCCGGCTCTTCTGCTGCACCTTTGGCGAGTAGCTGCACAACCTGACATTTTGCACCTCTCAACGTTTTTTGCTACTGGAGCTCGTGCCCTCCAAATGGGAAGTTTAGCCTGACAACTCTGTGTGTTTTATGAATTCCCCGTAAATATCCTGCTCCTATTTTATCTCATTACAGTCTTTTAATTGTTTTATCCTTTACATGTGGCCCGCCCATTGTTGTCATTTTGCCCTGGTGGTGTATTACTATTATTATTATTATATGTGTATATAATTAGTATTATTATTTATTTTATATATTTATTATATGTGTATATAATACTTATTATTATTTATTTATTTTAGTCATTATTATGTGTATATAACTTTGCTCTGAGTAAATTATTTTATTTATTATTATTATTATTATTATTATTATTATATGTGTGCATAACTTCGCTCTGAGTAAATTACTTTAATTATTTATTATAATTATATGTGTATATAATTATTATTATTATTATTTATTTTATTTATTAATATTATATGTGTATATAACTTCGCTCTGAGTAAATTATTTTATTTATTTATTTATTATATGTGTGTATAACTTTGCTCTGAATAAATTATTTTATTTTTATTATTATTATATGTGTGTATAACTTCGCTCTGAGTAAATTATTTTATTTTTATTATTATTATTACATGTGTGTATAACTTTGCTCTGAATAAATTATTTTATTTTTATTATTATATGTGTGTATAACTTCGCTCTGAGTAAATTATTTTATTTATTTATTATTATTATATGTGTATATAATTATTATTTATTTATTTTATTTATTAATATTATATGTGTATATAACTTCGCTCTGAGTAAATTATTTTATTTATTTATTTATTATATGTGTGTATAACTTTGCTCTGAATAAATTATTTTATTTTTATTATTATTATATGTGTGTATAACTTCGCTCTGAGTAAATTATTTTATTTTTATTATTATTATTACATGTGTGTATAACTTTGCTCTGAATAAATTATTTTATTTATTTATTATTATTATATGTGTATATAATTATTATTTATTTATTTTATTTATTAATATTATATGTGTATATAACTTCGCTCTGAGTAAATTATTTTATTTATTTATTATATGTGTATATAATTATTATTATTATTATTATTATTTATTTTAGTTATTATTATATGTGTGTATAACTTTGCTCTGAATAAATTATTTTATTATTATTATTATTATTATATGTGTGTATAACTTCGCTCTGAATAAATTATTTTATTTATTTATTATTTATTTATTTACGACATTTCTATGCCGCCCTTCACACCCTTACAAGTTATATGTCCATGTGGTTGTTGTTGTTGTTGTTGTTGATTCGTTCAGTGGTCTCCGCCTCTTCTTCGTGACCTCCTGGGCCAGCCCACGCCAGAGCTCCCTGTCGGCCGTCACCACAAGGGCAGGGTTCTGAGCAGAGTGGGGAGGGCCGCCTTTCCCTTTCAAAGGGGAAGGAAGAGGCAGTGGATGAGGAAGCCCTTCTCCTTCCTTCCTCCTTCCGGGGGGCTGGCCCAGTGCTGCCTAAGAGCCTGGGGCAGTGACGTCTCCATGGCAACCCCCGCTCTCCCCCCTCCCCTCCCCTCCCCTCCCCTCCCCTCCCCCCTCCTCGGGTCTGACCTTCGAGGCTCTCGCACTGGACGAGGTTGAGGTAGTCCGCCTGGGAGAGCACGCCGGCCTTGAAGCCCCGCACCAGCCCCTCCAGGTACCCGCCGTCCACGTTGAAGTACAGCTCCGGCAGGCACGACAGCAGCATGGTGGTGGCGCCACAAGGGGAAGGAGGGAAGGAGAGACTGAGGGAACCCAGAGAGAGAGGGAGCCAGAAACAGGCGGCGGCGGCGGCGGCGGCGGCGTCTCGGGGAAAGAAGCGGCGGCGGCGGGGGCACGTGACCAGCCCGTCACCTGACAACCAGGAACCCTTCTTCCTTCCTTCCGCTTCCCTCCAGCGCCCTCTGACGCAGGAACGGCCTCCCCCAAAAGCCGCGCCCTGATTGGTTCAGCGGGACAGAAAAAAAGGGGGAGGGGCTTCTTCTCCTTTCTCCGCCTGGACTGAGAATAATCTCGCCGAGGCTCCGCCCAGGTTGCCAAAAGCGGCGGCGCGATTGGTTGGGCAGAAAAAAGGGGCGGGGCGTCTTCTCCTTTCGCCGCCGAGACTGAGAACTCTCTCGGTGGGACTCCGCCCACATTTCCAGGAGCGGTGCTGTGATTGGGTGGCGGGAGTGAAAGGGGCGGGGCTTCTTTCCCATTGGTGGAGTGATAAAGAGTGAGCGAGGGAGAGGGTAAGGCTATCTCTCATCCGGGTCCTCGCTCTCCTCGCCGTGATTGGTCCGACAGGGTCGGAAAGGGGGCGGGACTTCTTTCCCATTGGTAGAGCGAGAGAGACGGTAAGGCAGGAAAAAGGGGCGGGGCGTCTTCTCCTTCGTTCGCCGTTCGGACTGACAACTCTTTCGGTGGGGCTCCGCCCAGATTGCCAGGGGCGGTGCTGTCATTGGGTGGCGGGAGCGAAAGGGGGTGGGTCTTCTCTCCCATTGGTGGAGCGATAAAGAGTGAGCGAGAGAGAGAGGATAAACCTTTCTGTCATCCGGGTCCTCGCCCTCCTCGCCGTGATTGGTCCGGCAGGGTCGGAAAGGAGGCGGGACTTCCAGGAACGGTGCTGTGATTGGGCGGCGAGAGCGAAAGGGGGCGGGGCTTCATTCCCATTGGTGGAGTGATAAAGAGTGAGCGAGAGAGAGGATAAACCTTTCTGTCATCCGGGTTCTCGTCCTCCTCGCCGTGATTGGTCGGAAAGGGGGCGGGACTTCTTTCCCATTGGTGGAGCGAGGGAGAGGGTAAGCCTATCTCTCATCCGGGTTCTCGCCCTCCTCGCCGTGATTGGTCTGGCAGAGTCGGAAAGGGGGCGGGACTTCTATCCCATGGGTGGAGCGACCAATAGAGAGAGCAAGAGCCTTCCTGTCATCCGGGTCCTCCCTCCCTCCCCCCTTCTTCCCCCCTGCGGGCGGCGCACAAAATGACCCGGAAGCAGCAGCATCTGTTTTGCGAGCGAGGCGCTTTGTTGACAGCCAGAGGGGAGGGGGAGGGGGGAGGGAGGGGGCGTGGTTTGGGGCGGGGCTAGTTCCTCCCGCAGGGGAAGGAGGCCCCGCCCCCGTTCCCGTCTGCGCCTGCGCGGGCCCCGAAGCGCCGGCAGAAGCAGTTGGAGTTGAAGAGGCGGCAGTAGCAGGCCGCGCACGGGTCGCAGCACGGGAGGCGACGCCCCACGCACGACTCGTGCACGCGCACGCAGCGCCGCCCCCCGCCCCCCGCGGCCGAGAGGGGGGGCAAGGCCGGAGAGGAGGAGGAGGAGGAGGAGCGGGGCGCCCGCGGGGGGGGAGGGGGAGGGGGAGGGGGGGGGGGAGGAGGAGGGCAGCAACTGAGAAAGGGGAGAAAGAGAGAGAAGGGAGGCAAGGTCAGGCCGGAATGGCACAATGGAGCGGGGGAGGGAGAGGGAGAGGGAGGGGGGGGCCCTTCTGACCTTACCTGAGGGGGGGCCATGAGGAGGGCGCCCGCCCCTTCTTGGCCCGCTTCCTCTTCCTCCAGCGCCAGAAGGGCCAGCTCTAGAAGGAGGAGGAGGAGGACAAGGGGGAAAGGCACCATCACACAAGGACAGGACTCTGCTGTGGTCAAGGGGGTCCCAGGGGTGGTGGTCGGCACACTGGGTGCAGTGCCTCAAGACCTCGGCCTGCACTTGAACACAATAATCTGCGCTGACCAAGTTACCACCTGCCAGCTGCAGAAGGCCACCCGACTGGGATCTGCCCGCATCATTTGCCGATACATCACACAGCCCTAGGCACTTGGGAAGGGTCCGAGGTGTGACCCAATACAACAGCTAGCATAGCGATCTTGTTTGCTGTGTACCAATCTTGTTGTCTATCTAATAGTAATAATAAAGCAACAATAACATAATAATAATAATAAAGCAACAATAACAAAATAATAATAATAAGCCAGTCAAGGGGGTCCCTGTGGTGGTCGGCACACTGGGTGCAGTGCCTCAAGACCTCGGCCTGCACTTAAACACAATCGGCGCTGACCAAGTTACCACCTGCCAGCTGCAGAAGGCCACCCGACTGGGATCTGCACACATCATTTGCCGATACATCACACAGCCCTAGGCACTTGGGAAGGGTCCGAGGTGTGACCCAATACAACAGCCAGCAGACTGTCTGCTGTGGACTCATTTTGTTGTATTTCTAATAATAATAATAACAATAATGAGTCCTAGGCACTTGGGAAGGGTCTGACGTGGGATCCAATACAACAGCCAGCAGAGTCTCTGCTGTGGACTCATCTTGTTGTGTTCCTAATAATAATAATAATAACAACAACAACTGTATTTTTGTACCCTGCTTCCACCTCCCCGAAGGGACTGTACGGCTTAGATGGGGACAAGCCTGAGATTCAGCATGGTTAAAAAACAACACAGCCAGAGTTGGAGGAGACTGACCTAGGGGGGCTTCTTCGTCTTCCAGGGTCAGGGCCCCTCGGGGGTCAAGGCCGTGGGGGGAGGAAGAGGAGGGGGAGGCCAGGCCCAGCGGAGGGGGCAGAGGCCACAGCAGCAGCCACAGCAGCGTTGTCATCGGCAGCATGGTGGTCCCGGCACAGAGTTGGCGAGGAAACCCTGCAAGAGAGAAGCCAGAGAGCCTCTAAAGGCCATCCAGTCCAACTCCCCCCCCCCCTTTCTGCTGTGCAGGGAAAGCACAATTAAAGCCCTCCCAACAGGTGGCCTAGGAACTGGATAGGTCCATAAAGATATACAGTCCCAGGATCAAAGACTCCTAGGGGCCCCCAAAGGCCATGCACCCTGACCCCCTTCTTTCTGTTTTGCAGGGAAAGCACAATTAAAGCCCTCTCGACAGGTGGCCACCCAGCCCTTGATTAATTATTGTTATTATAGAGTTGGAAGAGACCCCAGGGATGCTGCATCATAGAGTCAGAGCATCAGGGAGCCCTCTAAAGGACATCTAGTCAAATCTCCTTTCTGCTTTGTAGGGAAAACACAATTAAAGCCCTCCCGACAGATGCCCCCCCCCCCGCCTCTGCTTGATAATAATTATTGTTATAGAATCCTAGAGTTGGACAAGACCCCATGGACGCTGCACGATAGAGAATCAGAGCACCAGAGAGACCTCTAAAGGCCATTCAGTCCAACCCCCTTATTTCTGCTTTGCAGGGAAAACACAATTCAAGCACCCCCGACAGACGGCCACCCCAACTCTCCAAGGTACTGGATAGGTTCCTAAAGAGATAGGGATCCAGGATGAAAGGCTCCTGCAGTTGGAAGGCACCATCCAGTCCAACTGCTTCCTTTCCGCCTTTTGGCAGGAAAAGCAACATCAAAGCCCTCCCAACAGATGGCCACCCAGCCTCATAGATACTCTCAGGTTCATCCACAAGAAGGGTCAGAGTTGGAAGGGACCCTTAAAGGCTGTCCAGTCCGACCCCCTTCTTTCTGCCTTCATGCAGGGAAGGCACAATGAAAGCAGCCCGACAGATGGCCATCCAGCTTATGCTTCAAAGCCTCCAAAGGCTTTGAAAAGGTCTCTCAAGGTTCAGAGCGATCCCCTGAAACTTTACCTGGAGGTGCAAGAGACAGGTGCTGTTTCCCTGCCTTCTTCCTTCCCTTCTTCTTTCCTCCGGGCCTCCTCGCAGGGGGCTTATATGGGCATCCCCCCTCACTCCGTGGAGTGGCCACGTGACCGGAGGGGGGGGGGGCTTCAGGAGAGGGAGGGGCTGTCTGGTGGGCCCATCACCCCACAGCATTCAGCCATGGCACTTAAATTGCTGTTCAACTGCGTCAATTCTGCAGTATAGATCACACAAGGCCCGACTTCGGCCATCCTTCCAGGTGTTTTGGACTCCAACTCTCATCATTCCTAAGTAGGCTGATAGGAATTGTGGAAATTGAAGTCCAAAACACCTGGAGGGCCAAAGTTGGCCCATGCCTGGTGTCGATGCACCCTTGGAAACCAGAGCAGGGAAAGTTACTAGCTGAAAGTTACTGACTGTTATTTTATGACTGCTTTCCCCCCTTTTATTATTAATGTATTCTGATGATGATGTTGTTTGTTGTTTTGATTTTATTTCTGTATTATGTTGTCCGAGCTTAGCCCCATGTAAGCCGCTCCGAGTCCCCACCGGGGAGATGGTGGCAGGGTATAAATAAAGATTATTATTATTAGCAATACATGGCGAGGGAAGAATAATAGAATCCTAGAGGTGGAAGGGACCCCCAAAGGCCATCCAGTCTAAACCCCTTTTCTCTGCCTTCAGACAGGAAAAGCACAACCAAAGCATTCTCAACAGATGGCCATCCAGCCCTTGCTTGATAAGAAGAAGAAGAAGAGAATCCTAGACTTGGAAGAGACACCCCCCCCCCCCCCCCCCCCCCGGGCCATCTAGTCCAACCCCCATCTGCCTTCAGACCGGAAAAGCACACACACACACACACCTGAATAGATGGCCACCCAGCCCATTTGATAATAATAATAGAATCCTTGAATTGGAAGACTCCTAAAGGCCATCTAGTCCAACCCTACAGGAAAAGCCCAATCAATGCCCCCCCCCCCCCCCCGCCAACAGATTGCCATCCAGCCTCTGTTTAAAAGCCTCCAAGGAAGGAGCCACCATTGGGTGCCTTCCACCTGGACATGAATGTCTTCATTGCAAAGACTGTGAGGATCCAGAACGGGTCTCCATAGTCATGTGCAGGACCATTGCCTTCTACACTTGGAAGGCCGCAAAGGATGGCCAGTGATGACGATGATTCCTCTCCCTGCGAAGAGGAGGAAGGAGCGTTGGGCGCTAATGAGGTTCAAAGGGACAGAGTGCCCTGTTCTCCCTCGCTTTGCCCACCCACTGCCAACCTCATCTCTTGTTGTTGTTGTTGCTGCGCATGTTGTTGATTGTTGGGGCGGCCGCCTGGCTATTTGGGGCCTTGTTTCCTGGAAGCAGGCAGCGAGCGGCTGATTAGTCCCTGATTGAGTGAGCGGAGGCTGCAAATGGAAAGGCTTTCAAGGGGGAAGGAGACCCTAATGGCTTCTCCGAAGCCTCCCCTTCCTCCCCTCCCCATCCTTTCCCTTCCTCTCCCCCCCCCCCAACCTTTGCTTTTGGGGCTGCAAAGCCACCAAGGGAGACCCAGCAAAGACCATATTGGGCCCCAAAAAGGAGGGAGAGGTGCACCCTAATAATAAATAAATAAATAAATAATGAAGGCAATAAATGAAGAGAGAGTGGCCAGATGGACAAGCTGGGTTTAGAAAAGGCAGAAGAACAAGAGACCCAATGGGCAATATCCGGATGTTGGAGAATGGAGAAAGGCAGGGAGTGTCAGGAAAACATCTATTTCTGTTGTTTTTTTTTTTGTTTTTTTTTACTATTCAAAAGCTTTTAAGTGTGTGGATCATAATAAATGGTGGCAAGTTCTTGGTGGGATGGGCATACCAAATCGCCTTGTCTCTCCTGAGGGATCTATAGAAGGACCAAGGAGCAACAGGAAAAACTGACCACGGAACAACAGACTGGTTCAAGATTGGGAAAGGCGTCCGGCAAGGCTGCAGACTCTCCCCCAACCTATTCACCTTGTATGCAGAACACATCATGCAATGTGCGGGGCTTGAGGAATCCAAGGCTGGGGTGGAAATGGCTGGAAGAAACATTAACAACCTTAGATATGCAGATGACACCACTTTGATGGCCAAAAGTGAGGAGGAGCTGAGGAGTCTTCTCACCAAGGTGGAAGAAGAAAGCGCAAAAGCTGGATTTGAGCCCGAGCGCGGCAGGGAGCCCCGCCTTCACATTGGTGTGAGCCGCAGCGGAGAGTTCCGCAGTTCCTGGGTCGAGTTTTGGGGACCAACAGATGAAATGTGCCCCAGCAGCCAGCTCAAAACCAGGAATGCCTGCAACTTTCCTTTTGCTTTCCCCTCTTCCTACTTTGTATCATTCCCCTAATAAAGGTACTTGAAACTTATTTATTTATTTACAGTTCTTATATTCCGCCCTTCTCACCCCGCAGGGGACTCAGGGCGGATTACAGTAAACACATATATGGCAAACATTCAATGCCAGTTTGACAAACAACATTTAACAGACAAAGGCTATTTAACTTTTTTTTCTGGCCGCCAGGGGAGCTGCTGCTTTTCATCGTCCATCAACGACACCGATGAAGTTCTTCCGCATTCCACATTCCCCGGAGTCTTCTTTCTTTATGGCCTCATAAATTAGTTAAATTTAGCCTCCCACACAAGGTGGTCCCTTATTTTCCTACTTGACAGATGCAACTGTCTTTCGGGTTGCAAAGGTCGACAACGGGCTACACAATGGCTGGACACCCACTCCAGCCCGGGCTGGCTTCGAACTCATGACCTTTTGGTCAGAGTGATCTTAATGCAGCTGACACTCAGCCAGCTGTGCCACAATCCCGGTGCAACTTGCAACTTTTAATCTCTCCGCTTGATACTTTTGTATCTTTCCTGACTCTAACTAAAACAACACTGAAATAAACCTCTTTCTGGGCTCCGGAGAGCCGTGAGCCCGCGGGAGGCGCCTCCGGGCGCCCCCCGGACCCCGAATCTGCGTTCGCCCAAACCGCGGATACGGAAACCGCCATTTCAGACCCCCTTATCCGCGAAAAATCATAAAATGGTGGATTGCCGCCATTCCAATTTTATATTTTTCTGCTACTAATCCTTAGCCTAACTACTATCTCCCTTTTCTCATTTTGGGCTCCTACACCCAGGAATAAATTGGTTTTGTTTTGAGTATTTTATTTGACAGAAATCAGCTGTTTGTCAATTCGGCCGGTTCCTTCCAAGACAGCCCGTTTCTCCTCAGCGCTGCTCGCTCCTGCCTGGATCCAGCAACCAGGGACCCACTGTGATCACCCATAGGAGGCCCCGGGAAGGCAGCCAGGCATGGGTCCCGGTCTCTGGCGAGAGAGACATAGTCTCCCAAAGGGCAGACAAGGGACACTGTCACCATTTCAACCCGGAAATCCTCCTTGGACTCTTTTTGCCCTCTCCTATTGACTTTCTGCCCCACGCCTCGGACTGTTTACTGCCATATCCTTGGACACAAACCTTCAGACCAGGCTTGCCCTGAAGAGCAAGCAGCCTCCGTTCCCGCATATCTTCACAGAGGGACCATGAATTTCCCATTGCCTTAATAATAAAAAAAATCAACTATTTTAATAAACTTTGCTTGGAGTGGGGATGGGATTGCCTTATGAAATGTATAAAATGTATGTAATGAAATATCATACAGAATGTACTGTGTTTCCCCTTCCCGCCTTTTCTGCTGACCCTTGCCCCATAAAGATGTGACCTGGGGATTACTGTCTTGGGGAGATGCTCATTGTTCTCCCGAAACCTTTCCTGATTGTTTCACTTGCATGGACCATACTGTTGATCCCCCCAACCCTGGCCCTCGGAGCAGACCAGCGAGGGGAGGGGGTCAACAGAAACTCGGAAAGAAAAGACTGATTAAATCACCCAGGTATCGTTGACCCCCCCCCCCGAGGTCCAATATCGAAAAAGCCTTTTCATATTCCCTCCAAATCCCATCACAGACCAGGAAACTCATTGTTCCCCTATCTGACACCCCGCCCGTGAGGACAAAAGCCTCACATCCCAGCTGGCGGATGCCCCTAAGCTGATCATTTCCTCAGTCTTTGTCAGGCTTCGTCCCGCCTCCTAGCTGCCGATTGGTCCATCTTCAGAGGCGCTAGGAAGGCTCTGATTGGCCTCCCAGAGGTGGCGGAGCCCGCTGATTGGACCATAGGCGAGGCGTGCCGCCAAGCCTCCTCCCAGCTGTTCTGCGGCCAGCCAATCAGCGCGAAGCCAGCCGGCAGAGGGCGGGCGGGAATTTTGAAACTGTTTCCCTTTGTCTGCACACTATAAAAATGCTTGGAAATTCTGTAAAATTATGCTTGTATGTGGATGATCACTACAATCGCATCCTTTTCAGCTGAATCGCAAAAATAAATGCCTCGGTCACTGAACCTCTTCCGCCTCCGGTGAGATTAATTTTTAAATATTTCTATATTCTCTGGATTGGCTTCGCTGGCCTCACCGAGGTTCGAGGACCCTTTTGAGCGGTCCTAAGGGATCTCTCCCGCTGGGAGACCCCCTGAAAAGAGCTTGATATCAAGTTGCAGTTAAACATTTAAAAAAACCAAAATTATGGCAGCAAGAATGATTGACAACTGGGAAATAGAGGGAGAAAACGTGGAGTCCGTGACAGACTTTGTATCTCTAGGTGCAAAGATGAGTGCAGACACAGAGTACAGCCAGGAAATCAGAAGACGCTTCCTTCTTGGGAGGAGAGCAATGTCCAGTCTCGATAAAATAGTCAAGAGCAGAGACATCAGACTGGCAACCAAGATCCATTGCCTAGTCAAAGCCATGGTCTTCCCTGGAGTCACCTACGGATGTGAGAGCTGGACCTTCGGGAAGGCTGAGCGAAGGAAGATCGATGCTTTTGAGCTGTGGTGTTGGAGGAAAGTGCTGAGAGTGCCTTGGACTGCGAGAAGATCCAACCAGTCCATCCTCCAGGAAAGAAAGCCTGACTGTCCAATGCTCCTTCCTCTTCGCAGGGAGAATCATTATCATCATCACTGGGGATCCTTCA